GCAGCAGGAGGGGGATCAGGGCTGGGGCAGGGGGTCGGGCCGGGGTGCAGGCTCCGGGTGGCACTTACCTCAAGCAGCTCCCAGCAGCAGCGGCACGTACCCCCTCCGGCTCCTACGCGGAGGCACAGCTAGGCAGCTCTGCGCGCTGCCCTGTCCACAGGTGCCGTCCCTGCAGCTCCCATTGGTCGTGGTTGCCGTATAGCCAATGGTCAGTTTAGCCCAGTAAGCTGCCTCTGAGAGTGGCCTGTACCAGAGCTTTGGGTGGTGGAGGGGGTGTACAGAAGAGGGCAATTTTGGAGATATCCACGCATCTTCTACTCCCAGTTTCTGGTAGTCAGAGGTTTAGTGTTGTCCGGAGCATGGGATTACATCCCTGACCATCCTGTCTAATAGCTGTTGATGGACCTGTCCTCCAAGAAATTACCTAATTCTATTTTGAACCCAGTTATATTTTTGGCCATCATAACATCCCATGACAATGAGTTCCACAGATTAATTGTGCGTTGTGTGAAAAAGTATTTCCTCTTGTTTGTGTTTATCTGCTGGCTATTCATTTCATCGGGTGACCCCAGTTTTTATGTTGTAGGATTGGGTAAATAACACTTATCTGTTCAACCACACTATTCATGATTGTATAGATCTCTATCATATTCCCCTTTAATTTTGTCTTTTCTAAGATGAACAGGCCTAATCTTTTCAGTCTCTTCCTGTATGGAAGCTGTTCCACACCCTTGATATTCTTTGTTGCCCTTCTCTGAACCTTTTCCAGTTCCACTATATCCTTTTTGAGATGTGACGACCAGAACTGGACTGGACACTATTCAAGGCACTCCATGGATTTATATAATGACGTTATTATATTTCAGTCTTATTTTCTATCCCATTCCTAATAGTCTTTTTCACTGCTGCTTCAGATTGAGCTGAAGTTTTCAGAGAACTATCTGCAATGACTCCAAGATTTTTCTTGAGTGGTAACAGTTAATTTAGAATCCAGCATTATATATGCATAGTTGGGATTATTTTTTCCCCAATATGCATTTATTTGCATTTATCAAATGTTGAAATTTCATCTGCCACTTTGTTGCTCACTCACCCAGTTTTGTGAGATTCCCTCTGTAATTCTACACAGTCAGTTTAGGATATAACTATCTTGAATGATTTTGTATCATTTGCAAACTTTGGCACTTCACTGGTCGCCCCCTTTTCCAGATCATTTAGGAATATGTTGAACAACTCGGGTCCTAGTACAGATCACTGGGGTACCCTGCTGTTCACCTCTCTCCATTGTGAAAACGGACGGTTTATTCCTACCCTTTGTTTCCTGTCTTTTAAACATACAGCTAAGGGTAGCATAAAATCCCTCCTTTACCTGTAAAGTGTTAAGAAGCTCAGATAACCTGGTTGGCACCTGACCAAAAGGACCAATAAGGGGAGAAGAGACTTTCAAATCTGTGGGGAAGGTTTTTGTTTTGGGTTCCGTTGTTCTCTCCAGGTCAGGAGGAACCAGGGCAGGGAAAATACATCTCTGAACTAAGCATCTAATATTACAGAAATAGTAAGTAATAGCAAGGAAATGCGTTAGGTTATCTTTTGTTGTAGATTGTGAATTTTCCCTGTGTTAAGAGGGAAGTTTATCCCTGTTTTTGTAACTTTAAAGTTTTGCCTAGAGGGGAAATCCTCTGTGTTTTGAATCTTTTTGTTACCCTGTAAAGTTATTTTCTATCCTGATTTTACAGAGATGATTCTTTTATTTCTTTATTTTAAATAATCTTCTTTTAAGAACCTGATTGTTTTTCAGTGTCTTAAAGACCCAGGGGGGTTGATCTGTGCTCACTTTGTAACCAATTGGAGAGGATATTATTCTCAAGCCTCCCCAAGAAAGGGGTGTAGGGACTTGGGGGGATATTTTGGGGGAGGTAGGGCTCCAAGTGGCCCTCCCTGAATGTTTGTTTAAATCACTTGGTGGTGGCAGTGATACCAAGGGCAAGGAAGGAATTTGTGCCTTGGGGAAGTTTTACATCTAAGATGGTAAAAATAAGCTTAGGGTTTTTTTCATATGGGTCCCCACATCTGTCCCCAGAGTTCAGAGTGGGGAGGAAACCCTGACAGAGGACCTTCCCCTGACTGCTGTACATTCCCCCCAATCTAGAGAAAAGATACCACCATTAAATTCCAGGGTTTTATAGAAATTATTCTCTCATTAGTTTCTGGAAGCCTTTTCCATAAGAAATACACAGACAGCAAGCAAAGGATGAACTGAGGAAATGAGAGCAAGAAGGGAAGTGAAAATAGCCATTGCCATCTCGTTAATTAATGGCCCAAGTTTTATTTCTTCTTTGTCTCAGTGCAAAGTTCACGTAGGTCAGGAACAGTTCCCATCTCTGAGCAAAAAAAAAAAAAAACCAATCCATCATGCTGGACTTTCACACTACAGGAATTGTTTCACAGCACAGCGTGGGGCAAAACTAGAAAAATTCCTGTAACATATAGAACGAGAAGAGTTGTTTTCACTGCAACTAAAATTCCCTTGATTAGGGGAATTTGACATGAATTTTCTCAAGAGGGAGAGGGAAGAGATCGCCGAGTACTGTAGTTGGCAGTCATCTTGTTGCATGAATGTTTTTGATGTGCGAATAATGATCCCCCCCAACACCAAAACACGGGTCTTTCCAACTGGAGGTGAAGCACTAAATCCATTAACTAACAGGAGCAGCAGGGTAGCTATTTCTCTGTGAGTCAGCCACAGAGGGATGCATAGCACACTTCACAGATGTGTTACATGTACGTCTCCCAATATTACTTTAGTGACAGTGTTCTCCACTGCCATGAAGCAGACCTAAGTTTAACTGCCTCATTGCTTGATTCCTAAGCTTCCAGTGCTGGATAGCTGACGGAAATGCTATTCAGATGGAAACAATTATCTTGTAGGGAAAAGAACTCCTACGCTGATGGAGCAAAATTTCAGAAGATTAAAAAAATTGAAAACATTCCACACTCTTAGAGTAACCTACCCTGGGGATTGGACTTTCCTGTAAACTATGCTAGCTTTTAATTTCCTTTGTCTTCACAAGCATCCACCATAACCCTGCCAGTCTGAAAGCCAATGTAATGAAAGAAAGGATCTTCATACTAGTCAACAACAACTATAAGGACTTATTATTCGATCTGCCAATAGATTCCAAGTTCACATGTTAATATTATTCCAGGCAACACGGACCTGCTCTTCCCCAAGGACTTTGCAGCTACAGTTTGTCAAGTATGCAGTTATGACCTGCCTTTAGTCACGTACAATTCAGTACAAAAGCCAAGTGCATACATTATTCCTAAAATCATCTATGAATTGTAAAGGAAGTATATTACTATATATAGATTAATCATTAGCTTAATTGATCATTTCCATACTTCATATTGCTCAGATTTAATTAGCAAGCAGTCTCGCTGTGCTTTGTAATGGTTCTGTTAAGTAGAAAAGTAACTTTAGGTTAACAAAGCTTGTTCTCTTTTTTAAGCTATGTTGGTGGTAAAAAGGGAGAACTAAATTAACGTAATAAAGGCTATTACAGAAAATAATTAAAACCATGTTTATGTTCCTGACAGATTAGAACAACTCAAGTGGTTGTTAATTTGGATACAAAATCCTTACAAAAAAAAGAGTTAAGAAGAAAGAGGTTTTATATACTATGATGTGGAAAAAAGTATCCTAGGCAGATGTCACTTTAAAAAAATAGACCAGTTAAAATATCTCAGCTTTTTTCTTTTTTAAAGATATCTATTTAGAAAAATTCTATGAATTCTTCAAACATAGAAAACCAAAAAAAAAAAATGTAGTGAGTAAGACAGTTAAAAAGTGAGGTCATATAGATTTATTAGGGTGTTTTTGGTAACTTGGCTAATACAGGACATCATTACTAAAATATTTTTAGGACTTCAACTCAACCACATAAGCACACATTTGAACTATGAGCACATGGATAATCTCACCCCTATTAAATATGTGCTTTGCTGAATAAGAGACCTACGTTTCATTTGGAGCCATAATACACTGAATTTATGGTCATGCACTAAGCCTTTCCAATCTCAAAATTAAAAAAGAAAAAGTGTGAATCTGAATAACAGTGTGGTTTTGTATGTTTGCATTCTTTTGTTCTGAGTTATATCTGGCCAAAACAGAAAAGCCACAATACATCTTACAGTAAACATCTAACAAAGACCAAACAATTATTTATGATTTTAGGTTAGCCAAAATAAGGACTGCTCCCAGCATGGATCCATGTCTGCTGTTTCAACCTGTTGCAATTTTCTCCAGCCAGTTAATCCAAGCCATCAAAAACTGGAAAATAAGATTTACAATCAAAGTGTTACTGCCAGAAATCTTCCTGACTGAAGTGTAAACTGTGCTGCTGTCACTGCACCTCCTGGTGGCAAAGTGAATAATATGAAGTCTTGCATGTAATTTTTCTACTTACAGCTGAAAATGGGCTGTTCCAAAGAGCCTAATAATGATGGTTGCTTTTCATTAAGCACAGATGTTACCATGAGCATTTGCAGCTGAAGTTATTCTGCAACTCCTTCAGGATAAGGATGCAAACAACTGTGATACACACCCTGCCAGTAGGATCAGGAACAGACACTGATGACAAGTTACACAGGAGACAGATACTCAATTACACAGTGTGTACTGTGTAGCCGTAGCCTGAGTAGGTTATACCTACCTCCAACAAATACCAGATAGCTGAAAGGCTGGGAATTGTTTTTTTGTTTGTTTATATTTTTTCTCAACCACACACTTTTAGCAACACTTGTAACCTGCATCATTTGTCATGCCAATGAAGACTTGTGGTCCTAAAAATTAACTTGTGAGCAAGAGATGAAAACCCATCTTGCATTTCAAAATATTGCTAAGCAAAGAAACATTGTTTCCACTGGACTCAGTGGCAAAACTACCACAAACATCAAATGGAGCAAGACTGAACCTGAGCATGTAAAATGCTGAGCTATACCTTCCTTCAACAATGGTCGCTCCGGATGGTGCAAGGATCCTCAGTAGACTATGCATGTTTGATGATGATGCACCCTCCTTCAGTTTCAGTTGAGGGCACCAAGTGCCTCAACAAATTGCAGTCTCAGCTAGGGATGTAAATATCGGTTTAAAAAGTTAACCAGTTAAATGATTAAAATTATTTTGTTTAACCAGTTAATCGTTAACTGAGGTAGCTGGAGGGTCCTGGCACGGTGGAGGCTGCAGGCAATCCGGCTGGGGTCCAGCTAGTGCAGTTGGGGCTGGGGTCCCGTGGCCCACTCCAGCCCAGTGGGGGCTGGAGCCGCTCCTGCCGGCCCAACGTGGGGCTGCTGGGGTTAACAGTTAACTTTGGTTAACCGTTTACATCACTAGTCTCAGCTAGTAAAGACTTTAAAGAATTCATTCCGATCCTAAAATACCATAAGTTGAAACAAAGTTGCCCTGCAAGGATGCTAAGTTTGGGTTTTCTCTGCATAATAATCATATATATGTTATACTCTATATACAGACACATGCATAGCACAGTGACAATTACAACACAACTCAAATGGAAATTATGTTGTTTCTAGGGCTGTCGATTAATTGCAGTTAACTCATGCGATTAACTCAAAAAAATTAATTGTGATTTAAAAAATTAATCATGATTAATCGCAGTTTTAAGCACACTGTTAAACAACAGAATACCAATTGAAATTTATTAAATATTTTGGACTTTTTTCTGTATTTTCAAATATATTGATATCAATTACAACACAGAATACAAAGTGTACAGTGCTCACTTTATATTATTTTTATTACAAATATTTGCACTGTAAAAATGATAAAAAGAAATAGTATTTTTCAGCTCGCTTCATACAAGTATTATAGTGCAATCTCTGTCATGAAAGTTGAATTAAAAAAAACAGAATTATGTAAAAAAATAACTGCACTCAAAATAAAACAATGCAGAACTTTAGAGCCTACAAGTCCACTTAGTCCTACTTCTCGTTCAGCCAATCGCTAAGACAAACAAGTTTGTTTACGGGAGATAATGCTGCCCACTTTTTATTTACAATGTCACCAGAAAGTGAGAACAAGTATTCGCACTGGACTTTTGTAGCCGACATTGGAAAGTATTTATGTGCCAGATATGCTAAACATTCGTATGCCCCTTCATGCTTTGGCCACTATTCCAGAGGACATGCTTCCATGCCGATGACGCTTGTTAAAAAAATGTGTTCATTAAATTTGTGACTTAACTCCTTGGGGGAGAATTGTATGTCTCCGGCTCTGTTTTACCCGCATTCTGCCATTCATGTTATAGCAGTCTTGGATGATGATGCAGCACATGTTGTTCATTTTCAGAACCTTTTCGCTGCAGATTTGACAAAACATAAAGAAGGTACCAATGTGAGATTTCTAAAGACAGCTACAGCACTTGACCCAAGGTTTAAGGATCTGACGTGCCTACCAAAATCTGAGAGGGATGAGGTATGAAGCATGCTTTCAGAAGTCTTAAAAGAGCAATAGTTCAATGCAGAAACTACAGAACCCAAACCACCCAAAAATAAATAAATAAACCTTCTGCTTGTGGCATCCGACTCAGATTATGAAAATGAACATACTTCAGTCCGCACGGCTTTGGATTGTTATCTAACAGAACCTGTCATCAGCATGGATGCATGTCCTCTGGAACGGTGGATGAAGCATGAAGGGCATATGAATCTTTAGCACATTTGGCATGTAAATATCTTGCAACACCGGCTGCAACAGTGCCATGCGAATGCCTTTTCTCACGTTCAGGTCACATTGTAAACTAGAAGCAGGCAGCATTATCTCCTGCAAATGTAGACCAACAAGTTTGTCTGAGCAATTGGCTGAACAAGAAATAGGACTGAGTGGACTTGTAGGCTCTAAAGTTTTACGTTGTTTTGTTTTTGAATGCAGTTATTTTTTTACATAATTCTACATTTGTAAATTCAACTTTTATGATAAAAGCACAATAGTATTTGTATGAGGTGACTTGAAATACTATTTCTTTTGTTTTTTACAGTGCAAATATTTGTAATAAAAATAAATATAAAGTGAGCACTGTACACTTAATATTCGGTGTTGTAAATGAAATCAATATATTTTAAAATGTAGACAACATCCACAAATATTTAAATAAATGTTATTCTAATATTATTTAACAGTGCAATTAATCGCGATTAATTTTTTCATCACTTGACAGCCCTAGTTGTTTCATAAAAAAAAACCCACAGAAGTTATGAGCACCCTGGGGTGTCCTTGAGGACTATACCACGTGAAAAAGTCAGCTAGAAAAAGAATAGCGAAGTTCTCCACTGATACAAATGATGGAAGATACAACTGGCAATAGAATATGCATCTAGCAACAAGTTATGCCTCTTAAAAGGCCAACTGGATACAAGAGTATGAGGGGGTTGAGGTTTTTTTTAAAAGGCAAACCACAAAAATAATTGCATGCTCTTGTTTTCAAAGGCTGAGAATCCTTACATAAATAAAGGCACTGCCTAAGATTTTCTAATTGACCAGTGATTTGAGTGTCAGACTTGAGACACCTTAAAAGGAATTGGTTTCACAAAGCAGATGCTCAGAAGTTTGAGAACCAAGTTCCTTAAAAGTGTTAAGTAAAGTAGCCAAAAATTAAGGGATCTAAATTACTTCTGAAAATCATAATTAATCAGCCCCCATCTTAATTCAATGGGTTATAAGGTGATACTACTACAGCTAGATTTCTTAACTTTTATGAGTGTTCTGCTCTCTTTATATATATATAAAAAAAAATCTGGTAGTAAGTCAGTAATATTTTCAGATCACAATATTCCTATACAAAATACCATCTTAGCTTATATAAGAACAAACAGAAATTACTTATACAATCCGTTCACACTCCTCCTCCCCACAAATGCACTGTGTATTAGGCCATTTTAATTTCTTCCTTGATAGAAGTAGAGTGATTCAGGAGACCATTTTCCAATTTTTCCAGTTACCTGAGCTCCAAGGACACCTTTAAAGATCTGTTCATCCCAAAACCAATAGTACCTTCTAGAAGAGAATCCCAAAACACTTCACAAACATGAACTAAGCCTCATAATATGCCCATGAAGTGGTGGTTTTGCAGATAAGAAAACCAAGGCACAGAGAGTTTAAGTAACTTGTCCAAGGTCACACACAGCACCTGTGGTAGATATAGGAACACAATCCATGTCTCCTGATTCCTAGTCCTGTGCTTGAGCCTCAGGAGCATCCTTCATCTCATACACCACCATATATTAACCTTTACTCCAAACTGATCCCCAAAAAGGTAGACTGAACAGAGATTCAAACTTTTCAGTTTGGAGAACATCCTACGTATAGCAATACAAAGGGCTTAAAAGCAATCCACTGATTTGCCAGAGATTAATTGAATATCCTGTTGAGTAACGGAGCTCAAGCCAAAAATGTCTGCCGCTTTTATTTTAAAAAAAGTTTCTATTCCCCATGAATGCAGAAATAACCTTCCAGATCAGAAGAGCTTCTGCATCAGTTCCTGAGTCTGCACACGGACAGCTGCAGTGTCTCTGCTTCTGCTTATAAAGTAGCTCTTGCATGCAGGAACAGAGTAAAATTATGACAACATACTACTGTTCAGGTACCTGTGGGAAGCAGTGAAACTAGAAAGAATCATGACACTTGCATCAACAGAGTGTAACTGTTTGGGAAAGCTATAGGCAGTAGCAGAGGCAGGCACTGGAGTTATTAGCATGGAAGGAAAAATTTAAAAATTAAATGCAATATTTGGAAAGAGAGAGGACACAACTGATAACATGGAGTCACAATACTTCACTTCCAGTAGGAAATGCAGATGGGCCAAAGCCAGAATATCCTGACTCTTGACGTTTCACAGGGAGAAGGGTTCAGATTTGAATCTTCATGCCAACAGTTTTGGTTCTTGGCTGAATCCAAGGCCAGAAGGGCCAAATCTCTGGGCCTGGTTTGAATGCAGCCAGAAATCTTATGAAAATAAGCTTCAAATCCAAGCCTGAGCCTAAATATCCTCATTTATTTCTAGTAGAGCCAGGTGGTGGCACATCATTATATTCAGGTATTTCTGCACATCTTTGATTCAGTGACCAGGAAAAACAAACAAACAAAAAAACGTATTTGCCGGCCAACCTTAAAAAACAGAATATAGCAATCCAATGCAGCAGATATTAATACTCAACTATAATTTTATATTTCAGGAGCCCGTTAACCAGCAATAACTTATCCATCTATTCATTATAAAAATGCTTTGCCAAGATCACTAAAAATAAATCACTGTGGTGGCACTTTTGCAGCTGCTGGAAGTTACCATGACCCAAAGCAAGGCTGACTAACTTAGGCTCCGATGCTGCAATTAGATCCATGCAAACGACCCCGAGTCAAGGGATCTCCACGTGGGTGAGCCAGGGACTTTGGGCAAGAATCCAACTGCAGGATCCTTGTTAACACACGTGTGGGTGCACACACGCTGCATGCCCAGGCCAGGAAACGCTCTTCCTGCTGGCCGAGGGAAGAGAACATTCCGGTAACACCAGGGGGCTTCAGAGCAAACAGGAACAGGGCTCGCTCGCCAACATGCCAAGAGACGCTGAATCTCCAGGGCACGCAGCAGTGTAACGGTCCAGCTGCACCACACAACCACTTACCCAACACCATTAACACGTACGATTAGACGGATGCTATAAATATGCAAGCCTAGTGCGGAGGGGAGAGAGGAAAAATGGGGGGGGGGGAAGAAGATGTCCCCTATCCCACTGTTCCCACAACTTTTTACTCGCCTGTAACGGCTGGACTAAAGCATTCCCACTCCTAAATGTCTTTCACACACACTTGTTCGCACCATTGCCATGTCCCCAGCCAGCGTTGCAGCCCTTCGCAGAACAAGGCTGGACCATGGGGCGGGGGTAGAGTGACCAGATGTCCTGATTTTATAGGGACTGTCCTGGTATTTTTTTTTCTTATATAGACGCCTATTACCCCCCACCCCTTCCCGATTTTTCACACTTGCTATCTGGTCACCCTGGGGGGGGGGGAGGCTCGCACTGGGGATTTTCGGGTGTTGCAAACCCCCCAACCATTACTGGGGTCTGTCAACCAGAGGGTCCCACACCCACCCTCGGTCACGTTCTAGCCACGGGGACACGGCAAATCTCTCACCACTAGGTCCCCTGGGCAGTGAGAGCAATCCCCAGCGCCCAGAGCCTCCCTACCTCGCTTGCAATGCCCTGGCGAGGGACGCATCGTCCCGGCCGAGCCCCGCCAAGGGACCCTGCAGCTGCGCGCCCCTCCCTGGGACCCTTCGGAACCAGCAGTTGCTGGGGACACAAAGGCATCGCTCCTCCAGGGATCCCTCCTCCTACCTGCTCTGCCTCCGCGGGGA